AAGTCAAATTTATGTATATCGCCCAATACCTCCAATTTTCCCCAAGGGGCTCTACAGTGTGTACAGCGTATGACACCCTCTGTCTTTTGACCCTCGCTTCGGAGGGAAACCTCACTCCAAACAAAACAGAGGAAAAATGGAAGAAACCTGGTTAAGGTCAGCAGTTCTCCTTGCTAAGAACACTCTGGGCAATGCCCTGAATCTTTTCCCTGAGTCATGTAAGCGTCTTTGTTCCCCATATCCACACCTGAGGTTTTGCTTCAAAGGCCACAAAAGCTTCAGACCTCTGGGCTGACCAAGCCCAAAAGGTCTTCTTCAGCTCACAGCTTCCTCCATCTCTGCCGCCCACCCTGCAGACACCCATGACCTTCTGTCAAGATGAAGGAATTGTATTTATTTTCTTTTTTTCAGATGTGGAAGTTGAAGACTTTGCTGACAGGATCCACATTCTCTAAAACGATAGGCTAAATGCTTTCAAAGGTGATATAACTACCACATTTTTGGGGGGGTATGTACCACATATGGTCAAATTTAAATCATTTATTTAAAATGTTATGACAATACCTTGTTTCACTAATCATTTGGGAACAAACTGTTAATCAAAAAACAAAAAGAAGAACCACTAGACATGGGTCAAAGCCTCCCATTAGACAACCTGCCTGAGAGCAAATGATTTGGGAACAAAAGCAATGAACAACAATCGTCTCCTGACTCTGGGAGGATCAGTTCAAGGTGGAGAACCACCAACAACACATTGACACACCAACAAATACAGCTGAAACAACGAGCAGGTGAAAACCCTGGGACGCAGATGAAGCAGCCTTTCCTCAACTAAGTGTCTGTGAGCTACAGCCTCAGATCAAATGATATGAATGGTCATGTCCTGGTCCAGGAATCCATAGTCAAGAGTTCTAGGTGAGAAAGTGAAGGGAAGTAAACGTTTTCACTGAAGTAGCCTAATTTCAGCTTCACGTCCATCTACAGGTTTAAGCAAGCACCCTCATGAACATGGATGCTTGATTTTATGGGGATAACCAAAACCGGTTGAAGATTTGAGACCTCGCAGTAGTTAAATTCGTCCAAAGCACAAAGCAGGCACACAGGTCCCAACTAACCATGGATACACTATGCAAACACACACATCCATGCCTATCTGGCACGTGTTGAAACAGAAGTTATGCTGGGCAGTTTTTCACTGAGACCTCTGGGATCGGTGATCACAACACAGGGAGAGATAAGTCCGGATGGAGACAAGGAAAGAAGAAGAAAGAAAGTGAAGAAAGACAGGAGCAAACAAACAAAACAAACTTAGTAAAGCCCTCTGCTGGGCTGGGGCTGGAGTGTGAGTGTGTGTGTGTGTGTGTGTGTGTGTGTGTGTGTGTGTGAGGCGATGTGAACAGAGTGGCTGGGATTAGGACAGATCCTGGGCTGTCCAACTCACAGCTGGCTGATGATCCAATCCTGGAGCGCAGCACAGTGCACCAGCCGCCATGGGACCCCCGGATGCGTGCATGCATCTGTATGTGTGCGAGTCTGTGTGTACAGGCATGTGGATGCGACTGATGTGCGTATCAGTGTGCACATTTGCAGGCATGCAGTTGTACAAACAAATATGTGTGTGTATGTGTGTGTGTGCATACATTTGTGTTTATCAGAAAGGAAGGAGTGGCGATCAGTAGTCAAACAGAGGCTGTCTGTGCTTCAGGTCCCCTGTTTGAAGACGGGCTGTGATCATTTGGGCCACGACAGGAGGACAGAATGAAAGAGGGGAGCGAGCAAGTTGCAGAGAGAGAATCAAAGAGCTGCCTTCCAAGGCTGGTCGTACAAATGCCTTCCAGCCCCGCTACTGTGAATCTCTCGCAGTTTTACTCTCACACAAACACAGTCACACAAACCAGCTCCCTACAGCTACAAAGACAAGAGAGGGCCAATAGTGGCACGACTACGAATGAACTACATGTCGTTCTGAATAACCCCCAGAAGGCCTGCAGACAGACAGAAAGAGAGAGACAGAGGGAGGGGAGGGAGACAACTGCTTGAGGTTTATTTGTTTCGTTTGGAACAGCATGAGAAAAAGCAATAGAGAACATGACAAGTGAGGGGAAAAATAAAGAGAAAAACTAAAATGAAAAAGTAAAAAGGCGTCCTGAGGACGGAGAAAGGCGGTGACCAAACCTCAGCCGGTGTGTCCATGACAAGTGGGCGGTATCTGTGTTTGATACTTGCTTTCTACGCCGCTTCAAAAATGTCCAGTTTTGGAAAACAAAAAAAAAAAACTCCTTAATTTGCACATATCTCAATGATATTTTACAACTCCATCTTTAAAAACTCTGATGTTATATCAACAGACAAGGCTGGATCAATGGCTGGATGGAAAGACTTTAAGGGCTTCTAAGTAAACACCACATTTGGAAAAACAAGCCTGCTGGACAGCTTAACTGTGAGTGATGAGAATAGAAACTAAAATCCTCAGTGTGTCCTCAGCACAACTAGAGTTCCTGTCTTGGTATTCGCAATGCTAAGCGTAACGATGAGCATCAAACGTGACACAGTGGTGACCTGTAGCAACCTTAAAGCTAAAAAAAAGTCATTTTCATGCATTTGTTTTATCTCAAGGCATCAGTACGCTTCAACCGAAGTGCTTGTTGGGCCAATATCGTCTAAATGATCCTCCGCCCACATCTTTTGTCTGAAATTGGAAGCAGCATCCAACAATTTCTGTCACTTTCTGACACGGCCACTCGCTCCTGCTTCACGCATCGATTGGCCGTGTGTGGTAGAGCTGAGACAGTGAGCTGAGCTTCAAGCTCTCCCTCAATCTATTCGTGATCGCTTGCATAATTATGAATGCCTTTGAAGTAAATTGGACGCCATTTTCCCCGTATGTGTGGTACTATTATCACGTCTCTAACCCCTCTCTACAACGGCAGGTGTAAATGTGTGGATGTTCAGGATTACAGAAATACTATAATAGAGCAGTAAAGTAACATTTATGACGTGCCAGTTTGTCAAATGGGATAATTCATTTTGGTTTCGGGCTAATAGTGTATAACAAAGTGCCTGTATTTCATCATGTATCAAGCTAATGCTGTAGGTGTAAACTTATAATGTGTTGTTTTTTAAGTTTAAGTCATAACAGAGTATGATGATGGTAACATACCGTTTTTGGTTGACCAGCACTGATGGTATATAAGTACTTCACAAAAACACTTTCAGACATTCAACCCAAGCTTCAAGTAAAATTAGCTCCTTAAAAATGTAGGCCTGTAGATTTTTGTGATCTTCAATCCTGTGACAATATTTAAAGTCTTTATAACATGTTCCTGTACAGAACAGGCTTTTTAACTTCATCAAGCACTGTGGGGATTTGTAGTTTTTATGACTGTTGTACCTGCGTACAACACTGCTTTTGAAAAGCTCTAAACATGGCTTTAGATTTAATTTTGTGAAACTAAATGTGAACATGCTTCTCATCCACTAAGGAGAATGAATATCCGTATTAAATCAGTATCAGAAGTGGCTTAAACTGCTAATGACTAAAATTGAATTTGAATGGCTACATGCTCAGCCAAGTCAACAGCTGTCAAACATCTAGTATGCATCTGTGGATAGCTAAAACTATAAACTCTCTCATGCACATACACCCGCACACATGATGGTAGTAAAATGGTTTAGTCCAGTGGCTCCTCTAGTACAGGTCAAAGTCATCATGTTGCCACATCAATATGCATGTCATTCTCCACAGCTGGCTGCGAAATACAGACACACACACACACACACACACACACACACACACACACACACACACACGCACGCTCCTTACCTCATCCCTAAAACACACGACGGCCCGCCATGTAGCGCTGGCCAGCTGACAGACAAACACACTTAAACACAGATCAAGCCGGGAGCTGCGGTGGACACACAAACACACACACACACGCCACCGAGCTGATAGGCACACAACCACAAATACACACACACACACACACACACACACTCATAGATTATACAAACTTGCATCCCGCAGCCTCCAGCACCACAGGGCACCACCGCCACATCTGTGCCCATCTCAGACACCTCGGCTGTGGGCAGCGGGGTGAGAGAGTGCCCTGGGCGGCTGGCATGGGCTGGCATGGCCCTGGCAGTAGATGGTGTGGAAGGGAACAGCAGCCAGCGGATGACAGGAGGGACAGAGGGAAGAAAAAGAAATGGGAGGAATGCAGGACAGGAGAGGATCAAATAATAATAAGAAAGAAGATGATAGAGAAAAAACATGAGGATTTCAATTATAAAAGGATGGCAAAGAATGACAGCTGAGGACATGAAGACGAAAGAGCTACAGGTAGATAAGATAGATGGATGAATGCAAAGAAGGATGGGATGATAAAAGAACAACAGAGGAAGTGAAACAGGGAACAAGAACAAAGAAAGATGCAGAAATAGATAGAAAGAGAGAAGACGGAGGCAAGAGGGAGGAGAGCCGGTAGCGCCTGTCGTGAGAACGGGTGCAGGGCACTGGCAGGTGGCACTGAGGCCAGGCTGTCCAGTGACCATCAGCCGCACGTGTGTGTGTGTGTGTGTCAGGGACAGAAGAAGGCTCAGGCGCCATTTTGGCTCTGCTGGAGCTGTTGCTGGGCTGGGCACTGGCCTGGTGGCACAGAGTGGGCAGTGTGTCCGTGTGTAGAAATATATGTGTGCGTGTGTTTGTGTGTGTATTGCATTATGTTGTGGCATGCTTAACAGGATTAGAGGTGACCTGGTGAGGTCCAGTTGGTACCGGGACCATTGCACAGCGGCGCATTTGTGTTTATGTGTGTGTGGTTTGTATGATAGGATTAGCTGTTACCTGGTGCGGTACAGTTGGTGTGCTGGTCTGAACTGGAATGGACTGGGCTGAGCTGGGCAGGAGCTGGGCAGAGGGGAGTGCTGTGTGTATGTGTGTGTATGTATGAGTGTGTGTGTGAGTGTGTGGTGGCACGTATAATAGGATTAGGTACTACCTGGTGAGGTGCAGTTGGCGCTGGGCATTTGCCAGCTGTTCTGCTAGGCTCAGGGCTTCGGCCTGCCATTGGCTCCCGTCCTTTTGGACAACCTCCAGATGCTGCCGACAGCCAACCAGCTCTGAGCTCAGCCTTTCCACTTCCTGTCCCGCAGAGATGGAAGAGGCGAGTAAATCTTTCAAAACAACCCACCTTATGTCCGCAGACAAACAAAACATTTAAGGCTGACAACAATCTCAACGTAAAGGTTGAGAAGAGAATGATTTGATCGTCTAAAAATCACAATAGTTTGATTCACGAACAGTAACATAGTGTTTTGAAATATGAGTGAGGCATTCTATTTACGCCGTCCTCAAATTTGGTGACTGCTTACTAAATGATCAACTAAACAAACTGGTCATTGTCTGACTTATAAACTTAAGTAATTACTTAAGTTATCTAATGAATCTAAACTAATCAATGGGTTGAATGCAGACGTACCTGCGCAGCCTTTTCCATCTGTCTGCTGGTCTTGGTGTGGAGCTCCCGGAGCTCTCTCTCTGCCTCCTCTTTCTTCAGCTGGGCCTGGCTGAGCCGATATCGAAGATCCACGCACACCTAGAGATGACATGAACTGATTAAGAGCAGCCAGTCCTTTAATTAACAATTATTACTTCCTGTCCTTCACTGATCTAATTAAAGTATGTTAGAATACTGATGGTTAAGCATTTCACGCCCCCTCTACCCTGAAAGCACTCATATTCTACTATTTACATATTTACTGCTCCTATATTATCCATGTTTACATTACTACACTATGTGCTACTATCATTTTTATCATCATCATTTATCAACTAATAATACATATTAATATTAGAAAACATTTAATTATAATGACGCACTGAAAATGTGTTTTCTCTTTTGCCCTAACCCAACACAGTCAGAGCTCTGGGTCATCTAGAGAAGATAAACTACAGCTGGTAAAGAGTCGGTGTCTTCAAGACACTTCAGCAGGGTGAACATCTGCTGACATGCAACGCTTGAACCCGAGTCTTCCAAACCTTGCAGCCCACTTGGCAATTTTGTCACCGCTTTGCTACCGTTTGCCTGCCAATCATTTTGCAATAACACATAGTTAAAACCTGAACTAAGCATCTTCAAGCAAGGCCTGGTTTTTACCTCACCCTAAACTTAACTATACATACATGTTGAATTCACCCTTCCAACAACGGAGAATAAATACTGAAATAGATACACCTTTGCTGCCACCCAGTGGATTTACAAAAGCATTACAAGTAGACCGTACAGCCTGCACCGGAGTATCAGGACTGTTGCGAACCTCAAAGGTAGAGCCATCTTTTTTAAGTACTGGTCTAGCAGCAAAAGTAAGAATACATACATGTTGACTTCAGGTTGTCTTGCACAACGCAGACAGTGTACCTTGGTATTGTCTTGTTCCTGGCTGGTAAGTTTGCCAAGAGTATCTTCCAGCTGACTGGTCAGTGAGCTCTTGTCTCTGTGAGCTCTGTCCATCTGTCCTTCCAGTTCAGCGACATGCTGGGAGAGGCTGGACACCTGATACACACACACAGTTTTCTATTGGCATTTCATTGAAAAATAAAAATGTCAAGTATTTCAAAGCAACCAGAGCTGTGGATTGGAACTACATACATATACAATAGTTGTCTCTACACACAAAAAGTGAATAAGCAACATTTACTGTCTGGGCCAGCTCCTCTTTCTGTTTGCGGGCCTCAGCCCGGCCCTCCTCTCTGGCCTCAGCCAGTCTCTCCTTCAAGGCCTGTGCTTCTCGTTCTAGTTGTTCCCGAAGTCGAGCCAGCTCCCTGGACAGCTGCTCACACTGCACCTCCACCTGCATGCATACGAACAGACACAGAGGGTCTGTCAGAAGCAGCCAACCTGCGCATAGCAGGAAGATACACTTTGAGCTAACGCCGCTGGAAAAGTGTGTATTTATACACTTAGTGTTTCTCTGACCCTGGCTTTGTACAGATTTGCTTCCTCCGCCATCTCCACAGCCTGCTTGACTTGGAGACAGGCCGACCACTCCCTCTGTTGGGCCTCCTGCTGACTCGCACGCACGCCGCGCAGAGCCACCAGTAACTCATCACGCTCCCTAAAAGATTGATGGACAAGAAAATGCACGAGCAGCGTTAAAAAAAAGGCAGATGGGGAAATTAATTCTGGATCTCTTTTTCTTCGAATATGTAGTTTCCTTTTTTGTGTTTGTGTGCTACCACTGACTTTTTGAATCTGTCAATAGTCTGGACATGCAGGTTTGTGTGAGTCCCAGCCAACACAGCTTCGTGCTGCGCACAATTCAGACACATTCCGGCCACACGAGGAGCTCCATCGGCTCTCAGTGCATCTGCAGCCTGTTTCTCCCGGAGTCTCAGACGATCCTTCACCTCCTCACACTCCTTCTGACTGACTGACAGATCCTTCCTGAAGACGGAAGCAAAAGATGAAACGAGGAGAAACAGAGAGAGAAAAGGAAATTAATATTGTTTTTTTAATTAAACAATAAAAAAAAAGAAAAGGCCAAAGTCACTGGCTACGCTGGCTTCACAGCTAGAGTGCACTGACCTGAGGGAGAGGACCTGAGCCTCCAAGCTTTCAATCTGGGCCTGGTAGATCACTTTCAATTGTTCCTGATGATCACAAACAGGTTCAGAACAGACTATGCATGGACCCTTGAAACACTATGAAGCAATCGATGGATTTAAAGAGGATGGGATGAGATTATGATTTGGCCACAATCTTCCAGAGCAACCGAATGAGATGGAGAAGAGGAAGTGAACAGTAACACGAGGAGAGCAGAAAGCTGATCTATAATCTCTACCAGTTCGTTGCTCCATGTGGTGTGTTCTGCTTTGTGCAGCATGCTGTGGCTGTTGGCTGCCAAACTCCCGTTCACCTGTAGAACACATCAGGACAGATTACACTTTTAAAGATCTTTATTACATTTTACAAGAAGAAACTTTACCCACGTTTGCTCTAATCGTTTTGCAATGCATGCTGGATGTAACAACTTGACTGATATTTCCTGAAGATAGCTCTGATATCTACACCATCAGTGAATGTATGTGGAGTAATGAAGATAGAGGCAACCATAGTGTCAGTAACTTGAAAATAAACTCACAAGTATTCCATCCTTTATTTCACATATTATGATCTCTGTGACCTTGTAAACTTAGTACGGATGTACATACATTTCGCGAGCACAAAAATCCTAAAAATGATTTTCACACACAAACACACATTACCATGGAGTTGTGGATTGTGTACTCTTTCAGGGATTCATCCACAGCTTTGGACTTGAGGCCTGAATGCAACTTCTCATTCTCCACCACCACCACTCGGATCCGCTGTTTCATCTCGTGCAGCTCCTCCTGAACTCACGCACACAGAGAAGTGAATCAAAACGGATCCAAACTGGCCCCAATAGTCAAATGGACTGCAAATATAAACACACACAAAACACATATGTATGCACAGACCTTGCACAATTTGACTTCAGCCTCCAGGTGTTGGATGTACTCTGACTGGTTGTGAATCATTGGTACCAAATCCTGAAAAGCCGGCACGTTGGACCGGCCCTCCTGCTGTACTCTCTAACAGAGGAAAGAAAAGACAACAGAATGGCAAGCAAAATATTAACATAATGGAAAAGTCTGAAGGATTTACCACATTTAACGATGGAGAAATCGTACCCTAGCCTGATAAAATCGGTAAAGCGTGTTCCTTGGGTCGAATGCATCTTAATATTTAACCACGCAAAGCGGCTTACTCTACCTTGGATGGAGACTGTTTCTTTGAAGGAGTGAGAGGAGAGGGAATTTCTCTGCACTGCTTCAGTAGAAGGCTCTTCAGCTGATTAACTACAATGTCAAAACACACAGACACACACACACACACAGGAAGCATTTCAATATGACTCTGTGTAGGGAAATCTCCAGGTGGTGTACTACAACGTCTTTGTCGGACAGTCGTCCCGCAACTAATCACTGAGTCACCTGCTTCGCTCTGTGTCTTTTGGCTCCATGCAGCCTTGTTCTCTTCGGCCGTGGCGGTGAAGAGGCTGCCAGCGCTGCCTCTGGGCTCCTCCACCTCATCTCCATCAGAGCTCAGCTGCCCCAAAGCACTGCTGAGCTGCTGTATGCTCTGGTTGGCCCGCTCTGAAACCAAACACACACTCACAGACACCGGTCTCATACAGCGTATTATTTCTGTGCCCCCGGCCATGACAGTTTAGTTGGTGTCTGTGAACTAAAACACTTGCCCACTACCCAAATTAGAAACAATTTGTGAATCCACTGGGATGTATAATAAGCATTCACAATTAACCAAACACAGACTTGATGGATACATACGTGTTGACATCTAAACTATTCTTATAGCTCATTCAAGTACTGCTGAATGAAATAAAATCAACTTAGGTAAACAAACAAGTAAACACAGATTTTCACAGCAGAAATGTTGCATGTCACTGTCGGAAAAGCACATTAGCAACATTATTAATGATGTCTGCACGGTATTCAGCTGGTTTTCTGCATGATTCCACCCTGTCATGGGTTACTGGGACATAATTATAATGTTACATCTTGGTGTCCTTGCAATTGTTTCGCAAGACTTCCAATAGTTTGCAAGTATAATGTTCTTATGAAATTGGAGCATGACTTGATTGTCGGTTGGACTGGGAACCAACAACAGGTGGCAGTGACACGACTGTATTCACCCAAGGCTCTTAGTACTGCAGTTTAAATGACAGCTGAAAGGTAACTCTACATGAACTCAGGCATTTTGACTTCATTTAGCATTTAACTTACGTCTCAGCTCCTTCTGGTAAGCCCCCAGCTGCTCCGCCTCCTCCTCGTCTGAGTCAAACGGTTTCATTGATGTATAACTGATGTTAAATCACGCTTTATTACTACACACTAACTACACACGCGAGGCTGGCTGTGTACAATATTTACAACAACCATGAATGTGTCGCACGTAGAAACGGTCATCGATTCTAAGCGACGGTGCGTTTGTTTTGCGCACCGAGATGAGTGTTCTTATCTCCTACAATGTTATCTATAACACCGCCGCGATGCGTGTAAAGTGAATTTAAAAATAACGAGGCAACCATCTGCTAACGCCTCCCACTTCCGCAAACTCAGTCAGATGCTGGGAGTTGTAGTCCTTGTTTGTAGTCACAATTAATATTTTCACGTCTGCGCCTCCCTCCGGTGGTTACGGTGTATTGCAACTTCATACACTACATTTATGTAGCCGAAGCAGTGGTGGAATGAAACTACATTTACTCAAGAACTGTAGTCCTACTCAAGTACATATTTAGGCCTACTTGTACTTTACTTGTGTATTTCTAATTTATGCTACTTTATACTTCTACTTTACTCCAATTCAGAGAGAAATTGTGCACATTTTAACTCCATTACATCTGACATCTGACATCTTTACGTACTAGGTACACTACAGACTCTAAGATTTTATAGCCTAAACATAACAATGCATCATGTTTTATAAGTTTATGTTTTGTACATATAACATTATTTATTTATTTATAGTTATTTCAAGGGAAGCATTCAAAATATGTCAACGTTGAACTTCTTTACGAGCTTTTTAAGCAACATTTTGGATATAGACATTGAATTAAATGACTATAATGAGGAAGGGTGGCATGTTATTCAAAACCCACTTATAAATCACACAGCTCTGCAGCCTCTGCAGTTTTAACACCAGACTCAACACTCATCTAATGTAAAACAGCAAGTTGGTGGAGCTAAAAATGGCTGTGAATATCGGGCTTGTCGGGCGACCCATGAACTGCTTTCTGATCATGATTGAATCATGATTACTCAGAATTACTTTCAAATCATAAATATGCTGTTGGGTTGTGAAATTGTGGAAACTTCTCATGAATACATTGGTGTCATTATTTTAACCCATAGGATGTAGCTGAAAGCCCCAGCAAGTTAAGATTACTCTATTCTCTCCAATGGGAGGACATTGTGTTGGATAAAAAGCTAAACTGCTGCATCAAGACCAGACATCACAGCAAAAACGCAAATAAATATGCAAACACATGCAAACATCAGCCTGAGATTTAAAAAAATGAAACAAACAAGCAGGCAATTGATCACAAGCTATTCACTGTGTTAAGAGCTATAGAAACGCAAACACACACGTCTAACTTTACATATTTATAAGTAAACCCACAATCTGTAAAAGAAAAATAATGCTATTATTTTTTGTCAATCAAATACGTGGAAGTTTAGTTCAGAATTTCTTTGTCTTACTACTCAAAGAACGGTCAACCTAAGCTCAGCATCAGTTAAAAGTATAAAGCACAAATAGAAACAATTTTAAACAAAAGTGTGTAATTATATATAATTACGCAATTTTATACTGTGTACAATTATGGAGAGGAGAAGTTATATAATAGCTGAGGATACATTAACAAACCTTTAAAATGTCATTTTATATGTTTATCATTACATAACAGTGTGTTATAAACAACTTATTAAATGCTTATATACTTTTTATTCATGCTAAAAGTAAGAGGGGTAAATCACATTTAATGTGGGGGGGGGGGGGGGGGTGCAAATAGAGATGAAAGAGGATAAAGTTGTATACAAATACCTTAAAATACCTGTGTGGTACACAGAGTTATGTGTATTTCATAACTGGACCCGCTGTTGCCTCAATGTGGAAGTTGCCTCCAGCTCCAGGCAAAAATGACACAGATGGGGGAGTTTCAAATGAAATAGTTATAAAGTAATGTTGTGTGTGTGTGTGTGATGTTCAGTGGAAGGGTGTATCTCATCATCTTTGTTGCTGCTTATAAAAGGGGCCAGACAAAGGTAACCATGGATACAACCCCTTCCTATTGCACAATAACAGATATCTTCCTGTCGAATCAGACTCTCGTGTACTTTCGTTTGTTGCGACATTTCATTTTTCAACAGAAGAGGCAGTGAGTCAGACTTTGGTGGGTTCATTGATAAAACTTTTTTTTTTTTTTTTCAAACATTGTGTTGTAATCAAGATTGACATTGTCATTCACAGTTTATTGTGACATCTTAAAGACAGAGTTTGAGTCCTATGGATTTAAAAAATAGCTGGTTCAAGTGTTTTGTACTTTTGAGTGTTTAATCCTGAAAACCTTTTTGTCCCCAGTCCTCCTCGGGCCCCAGAAGCTCCACATTTACTGCATGCTAGTGGTTTTTAACTGATTAACCCGCATTAAGAGAATTCTTTCTTTCTTTCTTTGGTCAATTGGGTCCAACATTTTTTATGTCACAATCTAGATTTAAGACCTTTATTACTTACATATTGGATGGTACAAACACAAAGCACAGAAGCTGGGTGTTGTGGGGTCAGTCGGAGCCCAACAGTGTATGCTCATTTTTTTACACTTTGGTATATCACTACTTCAGCATACGTGTGTAAAGGATATGAACTCCGACCTGTAGTCCATAAAGGCAGGGTTTGGAGGGAGGCCTGAAGGGAAGGGCTGTCAACTTTGACACTTTCTTGCTAGATTTAGCAACTTTTGGAGCGACTGCTGCAAGCTACTTTCATCGGAAAAGAGTTGGCAACACTGGGCTCGGTTTTTTGGGTGTATTATTTTTTTAATCTCTTGCTAATTTCTCAAGATGACCAACCCTGGCCTTTGATTTCAAACGTTACCGTATATTGTGACAGACTTCACCTACTTCCAAGGTTTTGTCAGATCTAATAGTCCATTGCAGTGGAACACAGTTCATTGTATTGAACATCAGTTTGATTATTATATATATAATCTTGCATACATTTGCCATCTTGTGATACTGGTCTATAGGCAATGCATCACAGCTCTGCACTTGTCATTTGAATAGACAGTACTTCTCGTGACTGCATGCTGCTGTGCATTTAGTAATCTGTCATCACCATTCAACCACAGATCTTTGGTAATGAAAAATTGGAGTGCACCTCTATTACATATGAGTTCTTATCTTGTAACTAACGTGTTCGCGTCGCATAATTATTTGCATAGAGTCTGTTATGGGAAGGTTTAACCACCGCATTTAGTGAAGCACTCGCACGTCAAGTGAAACAGAGCTCGTCTGCAAAGGAGCAGTTACACAAGGGAGTGTTTGCATGCCGGGGTATTTCCAGGAAACCACAGTAGCCTACCAATCTGACTGTGGTAGAGGCTATAGGTTGATGAGAAAGCCCACGCATACCGTTGCAGTCCCACTTGCTAAATGTCACCTCTGCCCTGCCATGTATAATTATAACATATTCCCCACCTGTCACTGCCAGATCTCCCCTCGCTCCGAATTCCCCCCTCCCACTGCACTCCCGAGTGAAATGTCTTTCTATGAGAGGGTAGGGGTTGCTTTTTTTTTTTAAAAGCATGACAACCTAACATAGGCCTGGAATAGTGACGAAAAAAAGCACCTAAGTAAAGCCTCATCATCTGAACTCATCATTTTTGTATGGAAATGTGTAACAATGAGAAAAAAAAGAAATAAGAACAACGGAGGTGGAGAGAAGAAAAAGAGCTAACCCAGTTAAGCATTGGAAAATAGTGCAACTCTGCCACATCTAAACCAGGCCTGAGCCATCAGCTATCTGAGGACTTTTTGCAGCACCCACTGTACTTCCTACACTACGCTGGAGATGGAGTCAGTGCCGTTGGTGAGCAGCTGTTTTTCCAGCAGAAACAGTGTTAGGCAACACGCAGCACAGCAGAGAGAGAGAGATGCTGTAATAAGAGTGCAATGTTGAAATCTCTAAGAGCACACACAAGCATACTGCATGTGCAAGTGCTCGTAGCGTAGCACACATGCTTGTGTTTTGCATACACATATTCTGTGGTAGTGCACACACATTTTCCTCTCTCACACACACTGGAGAGACAAGAACCACAGACAGATTTCTTAATAAAAATAATTCATTTCAGGACGACATATAAATAATTATTGAATCACACAATACAGATATCTTGATATGAATAAATACTTAACAAATAAAACCAGGCTTTTTTTCATACAATACCCTATTGTCGAAAGGTCACACAGAGAAACTTCCACACAGTTTGCATGTTTTGTTACACCTTCTGCTTCTAAGCGGTTGTTCTTCCTACTGTTGGAATGTCCCTAAGCGAGTCGGAGTACCATTCCTAAATGCCTCAGCAGCTTAGACGAGTCATGTGCAACTTATTTGATCTCCCTCCCAGTCGAACTCAAGCCAGTGGCCCCGAAACCTTCGTCAAGGGGTCCCGATGAGCCGACCACACATTGGCCTTTAATTGATTAAGGTTTGTCTAGAGGTGATTAAAGCACACAGAGATCTACGTACAGGCCGTCAACAGGCGGGCTGGCCCGACAGCTTTAGATACAGTTGAATGAGAAGGCAGACCGAGAGCCTGTTTGTCTATGCTTTGCTAACTGAAGCCACAGATGGACATCTGCCTACAGCAGTGGAGCACTTCAGCAGAAGTACAAGGGGAATAACTGATCCAGTTGATATCACATTTAGAGATTGTGAGCTAAATGTTTTACGCTGGAGGTTATCTCTGCAGATAAACATTTCTTTGTATTGAAAAGATGGCGCTCATTTGGGGACTTTCCACATAGAGCTTGATAAACTCTGTGGTGACACAGGGTTGGAGATGTCTATTTGTGGCCCTCTAGTTAGTTTAGAGTGGTACAGGCTGGTCATTTTTAAGGAGGTAACAACAACTGTTTGGCGGTTGATGGCACATGTATTTTTTTTTTTTTTTTGGCAGAAACAAAACCAAATATATCAAAATACAATAAAAAAATCCCCAAACAAATAAAAAATAAAAATAACAGGAATGTCAGTTTTGCGTATTCCAGATGCACACATGCGTGCATTCTGTGTGTGTGTGTGTGTGTGTTTTTGTTGGAGATGAGGCATCGGGTTGGAAGGTCCTACAATATGGACCAAGATCCATATTCACAAAAGCATTTTATAGGTGGGAGCACTGATCCAGGATCACTGATCAGGCTCCTCTGGTCCATACAATTTCAATCACTACTTAAAGGCAAAACTTATCGAGGATCAGCCCCAATACTGTGCTGTTGTAGCAGCAGCACAAAACACATTCAGATAAACGAGATCAGCCGAAGCAGGCGATGGGATTGCTCTTTGTTTTGAAAGTGTCGCCTTGGCACATCCAGTGGGGTGGAGCAGAGAGGAATGCATTTCTCTATGGGTTTGTTTACCTATATACCACCTCAGGCTGGGGTGGGGCACGTACAATCTCACAGAGCTGTGTTTGCATGTGCATGTGTGTGCAAATGTGTGTGTGTGTGTGTGTATATATGGTGGTAAGGTGGTTGCACACCCGTCATCATGTTCTCAGTTCTCTTTATTGTTGGCAATCCCCTTCTGACAGGACTGGAGCTACTACATTTGTGTGCGCATGTGTAGGTATGTGTCTACGCATTTCTAGGTGCTTAAGTGGTCAGTAAACAGCAAAACAACGTCCAAGGCAACAGATCTGTTTTGGAGGAAGGGGAGGGGGAATAAGAGGAAGGACAGGAGGAATAGAAAGAGAATGAATGAGTCCTGTCTCTACGGTGTTCTCCGCCTTCTGTCCGCTGACACCGCCAGCATGTTGGCTACAATGGAGAGGCTTGTATTTCTGTACATGTAGCACCAGAACTAGCAGGGGCCTGCCCTGTCTGTCTTGCACTGTATAGACAAAAGGTCTGTTCTTGCTTTCCATATCAACAATCTCACCAACTTCATATAACAGAGAAGTAACAATACAGTTTAATTTGCCTCAAAATATAAACTGCTTTCGACTGACAAATGGAAGAAAATTAAGTCTTGATCATTTTTACAATATTGATTGCAAGAGCTTTTCTCGGTAAATCTTTGTCTTTGTTTGGAGGACATACATGAGTGTTTTTTTTTGGAGAAGTAAGCTAAACAATGGTGCATACCATTGAATTTCGTTTTCAAGCACTTCACTTTGGCCCAGTTCAGCTCACTTCTGCTTACTACTTCCACAGATTTGTCGCTGGGCTTCCTCATCTACCGCATCCCTCATCCTACAGGGCAAATGCTAGACAGACAGGCAGACAGATACACGGATGTGTTAAGACAGACAGACGGCGGGTATAAATCCTTGGCTGTGGTCTAGAAAGCAATGTCAGATGCTTCTCCTTACGTCAACATACAATCATTTTGTCCGGCACGATTCACGACGTACCTCTAAATACATATTGTACACAAGAGTTAAGTCAGTTGCTCTGACATGTAGCCAAACCTCTCACCGTGTAAGTGCACAGGGCACATCAGATGATAATAATTGCACAAAGAGGTATTCTGGAGGCCATGTCTACTGCAAACACACACACACACAGTCAGTCACCCCCCCCCCCCCCCCCCCCACTTCCCCCCCCAACATACACACACTCTCGCTTCACATTCTACATGGGGGGTTTGATTTTCAGGCCATAAGGTTACTAGTTAGTCACTAGCTAGTTAGTTAGTTGGTTAGTTAGTATCAGAGGTGCATTGACTGGCATGAGGTGCCAACAGCAGGGCAGCGGCTGTAGCGTGCTAGCGATGTGTCACCATCGTGGTTGCGTGGGTGTGTACGTGGTCAGCCGCGGTAGATCTGTTTGAAATGGTCACACTCGTTGCAGTAGCCCTGTTTCTCTTGGTTGGCGTAGTGGTCGCAGCCCTGCGTCCTGCACCGCTGCTTGGACTTTTCTTTAGGCGCCTGCGCCCGTCTGCCCGCCTCTCGGCCCTGGCCACGTGTGTGGCACTCGGGGCAGAGGTCCGTGCAACCCGGCGACGCATTACTGCAGCCACTCCGCCGGCACTGAGTCTGAGTCTGAGTCTGGGTCTGGGTCTGGGTCTGGGTCTGGGATTGCTGAGAAGATCTGGGTTTGGCTGCTCGCTCCCGCTATATGTACAGAGAAAAGAGAGGGGGAGGAAAGGGGAAGAGGAGAAAGGTCAATTTGGCAACCAAAAGGCATCTGTGGACCAGCAGGATATTAAGAGTTGAGATGAGCAAGAAAAAGACAGACAAACAAAAGAAGGATAAGACACAAACGACAGAAGGTCTGGCAGAAACCTACCATGACCAGAGGAGGGGAGTGTGGTGTGCGATGTGCCGCTTGATTGAGCCGTGTGCTTTGCTCTTTGAAGTAGCACTTGTCGCAGTAGCCCTCCAGCATTGTCTTGCCAACTGCGCCACACCCAGGCCCTCGACACCGGGAGACGTTCTGGAAGCCGGCCTCCACACCATGCCGGCTCTGGACCGGGGCGGGGGGAGGGGGAGGGGGAGGAGTCAGGTCTGGAACAGACAGTAGCCAACATAAGCAATGACTTTTGAGTGAAGAAAAATATGAGTACAACTAAACATAAAACAACCATAATTCCTATAACGCAAAACAAATTCATATTTGGTTGAACCTTGAAAAGATCTTGTAACATGATAGAGGTTTCGGAACTTACGGTGGTTGGTCTGATAGTCTACGTAGCAAATAGTGCAGAAACCCAACTTCTCTGGCGTCCCAAAGAACTGGCAGCCGGATCTTTTACAAGGCCGGGCCAGAGGGGCTTGCCAGGCTGAGGTGTGCCCCGGGGTCAGGGTGAGGCAAGGCCGCTCAGTGTCCCTGGCCTGGGTCCAAGCTGAAGACGAGGCCTCAGTCCTGGGGTTGTTCTGCTGCGGCTCTCCCCTCTCCGGAGGCTGCTGTCTCTGCATGCAGGGTGGACACAGGCCATTGAAAATCCTGAACGCCTCCTGTCTGCACATGCTGCAGCGCTCTGTCTCTGTCTCGCGGCCCCCCCACTGGGTCCAGCCGGTGCCCTGGGCCGGGTGGGGGACTGTAGGCCCCCCATTGGTGCCTGGGAGTCCTGGAGCAGCTGTTCCAGCTCCAGGGGGTCCGTGGTTCTGCCTGGAGTTGAAGCAGCGCTCGCAAAGTCCATCATGCTCCACGCTGAGGGTGAAGAGGCAGCCGGGTGTCTTGCACTTCATGGCATGAGTTTCACTGTACAGGCTGAGGCTGGGAGCCGTGGGTGGTGCTGAGCGGGGGCTGGATACCACCACCACCCCTCTCCCACATGTGGAGGATGGGGGGCTGCTGCCTCGAGCTCCTCTGGAGCTCACCTCGGTCTCTGATCCCCCGATCACTCCCACCCCACATTGTACCCCTCCCCCCTTGGTCTGCACGACACCTTCTATCCTCATTCCTCCACCGGTGGTGGCCTGTCGCTTCTCAAAGCATTCATGGCAATGAGGCTGCGTGTCCACAGAGACGTAGAAAGTGCATCGTGGTGTGGCGCAACGGATCTCGATGAGGGAGAGCTGGGAGACGGAGAAGGGCGGTGGACGCTGCGGCTGGGCGGCCCACGCCTGCTCCTTGTCCTCCTGCCAGCGCTGGTACTCATGGTTGACAAGCTGCAGGTAGTCCTCCATCAGGTTCATGTCTTCAGGGAGGTTGCCCTCATCCAGCCTGGGAACAGACACATACAATGTGGTTCTTAAATGAACTGCACTTTTGGGGATTTTCAGTTCAATTCTAAGTTAATAAAGTTATTGCCATCAGTCTGCCGATTAGGTTTGTAAAAGTTAAAGCAGTTGTATTACAAAACCATCAATCTAAAAATAGACATCTTCATTCCTAAGTTGCAGGCCAGGACCAGGATATCAATCTTTTACTGTTTCCTCTTCCATATTGTCCGTTTATGGGGACTGAGTTTATAATATGTAAGTATGTAATATTATAAGTACCGTGCAGCATTGACGATCCGTGTGGTGTCGTAGCCCAAGCCTATGACGGGGATCTCTATCAGCAGCAGGTAGTCCTTGAGAAGCCTCTCTCTCTGCTGCTGTTCTTTCTCCATCAGGAAGTGAACCTTCAGCTCCTCAAAGCCTCCTCGTCCTGGGTTGATCAGCGGTACTGCTCGGATCTCTGGGAAATTCAGACCAAGATGTCACATAAAAATAAAAACAAGAGCAACTACATAGCAGGGCTCTTTGTCGCGTCGGCTCCGTAACACCTTCTTGTTTCCTACCTGGGCCGCTGTCTTTGATGGTGATGAGGGGGGCAAAGTGCTGGGAGTCGTAGCCGAGCACTATTGGGTATTTGTAGCACTCTGTGGGCGCCCACTGTAGCGGCAGATAGATCCCACCCACATTCAGAGGAGAGATGGAGGAGCCAGATTTCATACTCCTGACCACCTGGTCTGTTGAAAGAGCAGAGATGGAAGGGTTACTACTGATTTGAAAGACAACTGTTCAAGATCAAGTTAAATGTGTTTTTAGTACTCATTTTATAGAATTTACAGATTTCGATGAATAATGTTAGAAATGCTACAGAAACATTTGATTTAAAAGTGAACGGCAAGAAAAATAAAGAACTTTAAAATGTCTGTTCACCCCTTTGAAAATGATATACTATTTGCTATTTCAATGAGTGTATTAGAACAACATTCAAATAAAGTTTAAACAAGTTTCTGCTTATTTACCCTCCATACAATTTATTGATCACAACATCCGCTAACCAAAATAGATGGGAAGTGATACAGTGAAATCAAACACTCTGAGCAAAGTGGTGAGGCACGTGGAAGGAGATACCCTGATCCTTCTTCATGACTGAAAGACATGTTGAAACGAGACCAGCGGGTCTTTGATTGCTGAGGAAGCAATAAACATACTTTGAGATGACAAAAAGTCCGTACCTGCGATGACTATGATGGGTCGGCGGAGAATGTTGGAGAGGACGAAGATGTGAATGTCCTCCAGAGAGTCAAACTGGAGGCCGTTGCTACTGGAGACCGGAGACGCCATCTTCACAATCTTTTCCCACTCCTCCTCCCAGTTCTGGGACAGCACACACACAAAGAGTTAGGATAGATGCTTTATTTTCTTGCAGGTTGCATACAAAGATGTAAAAGACGTAAGCATGGATTGAAATGTTTACTGTCTCAAGAGCACATGGGCTGTATGATTTAGCTAAGGCTTCTGACAAAAATATGAATGCAAATTAGTGGAGAAGACTTTTGACATCGAGCTGATCTAATCTTCATACCATTGTGGTGTATCGGAGTCCGGTCTGTGTGAACTCCTGGGACTGGAGCAGCTCTGCCTGGAAGCGAGCTCTGAAGACGCCAGTGTCCGTCTCTTTCAAAACACCATGGAGAGCTTTCCGAAGCACCAGGTCCGTGTCTTGAACGCCCAGCATGTACTGAGAGGTCGCGTGGAGCAAACAGTTCCCATCTCCTATTGGCACACACAGGAAAGGCAGGCAAGCAAATACAATGTTAGAACTGAGGGTGGTTGATTTTGTACACGGGACGCAATCTAACACAATTGTGCACGGACTCATGCACACGCATGTGCGACTGCAGAGTGTACACGGCATGCACAACAGACAATTATAGAGCACACACGCACACGGGCGTAACAAAAGTCTGGGGATTTCCAGGCCTTCGGGTCAGTTGTCGCACTATCTGGTATCTAGACTATTATATGAAGCTCACATGTCTGAAACTATGCAAACACTACAGACAAAGCCGGGCTTTTATCCTGCTGGCCTGAGAAACATGGCCCTCAACATACTTATAATATGTTTTCGAAGAATTAAATGCAGCTGCTTCACTACCTTAATCTGCCCTGAAAATTTCCAACAATTCAAAGTAAACGGCTTCCTCTATATTCTACAAACCGTCGGGGAGATAAAGAGTTTCTCAAATGGAATTTGTGTGTGTGTGTGTGTGTGTGTGTGTGAGCAACTACTACAAATCCTGGAATTTTATTTAGTCTCCTATGGCAATGCTGGATCTTTTTCTCATTGTGAAACAGGAGAGTCCATGTTTGTGAATGTGTGCGCCTCTGAAAAAACCCTGTTGCCACACTAAACACAGGAATTTCCCTGTGCTAACTTCTGCCTTGTGTGTGTGTGTGTATGTGTTAACCTCCTACGATCCCAACTCATCAATGCCTCTCAGCTGGTCCTGGACTTTCCACAGGGGTGTGGCTTGGACAGGATGGAATGTTATCTTTTTAATTACTGCTATCAACACCCGATGGAGGCTGTGAGTAATGAGCGCTGAGATAACATGTGCGCTTACATGCACAAACGCATACAAATGTACCGTAGTGTGTCGGTTCTGTCTCCCTTTATGATCTGCTCCGTAATGTTCACCTGGCAAAAGTTACACACCTTTTTTTCGTATAACATTGCTGCATTAAATAGCTAATATCTGTACAAGAAAAGTTATTTACAACACAAAAAGTCTAAAATGAGTTTAGCCGGTGTACGCGTCATGCCCTAGGACAAACTGTATCGCATTTCTCAAAACTACATTATCTGTATTGCGAGATGACTGTAATGTGAGATGCAACTGAGGGAACTGTACTTTTAGGGGGGGAAAAAAAAACCATCACCTCTATTTCAGACTAGCTAGCTGTTGTCACATTTTGGCGTTCTTGCATCACTCTCAACACTCTCTAGTGAGAAAAGGCATCCTCAACAGCAACATCCTCAAAAGAGATACACAGGCACACAAGAGCATGCACAGAGGCCCAAACACGCACGTGTGATCAGCGTGTGATTGACCCTTAATCGAGCTGCCTGACGAGTGATGACCGAAGATGAAAGACGGTCTGCTGGTCGCATCGGTCTAAATATAGACACTTCCTCTGTGGCCAGCTGGGACACTTCCTGAAAACACACGAGTGTACGAGCGGACTTACTCCCTCATTTGTTCCTCGTGCAAGTGACACCGACCACAAAGTTGCAATGTGGTGCTTTCCAATGCGGATTTAGGTTGGTGGCCCACATCATCCACTATCCCACTCTGTCGCCAAGATGTCTTTTGGGACTAAACCAACAGAACAATTCCTGGCCACAGACTAGTTTCACTTCTGCTTTAATAAGAACTGGAGATATGACATATTGTGTTTGTATCAAACACTGCGGATACCACATAAAGAAAAGTAGTCTGTACTTATACACAGTGTGTGTGTGTGTGTGTCCGCTCTGCTGCTACAGCACGTAGTCTCAGTGTATTGTAGCTGAACAAATCCTGCCTGTTGGGGACACATGACAGACATGGGATGCTGTTTGGGGAAAAACCCTCGGAATGAGTCCCAGACATTCAAGACAGAAGACGCACTGAATTTCAATAACGCGCGTCTCAAATTGGTGGAAAAGTTGCATGAAACAGGAAAGCTGATACGACCCCGTTATTTCTAATTGCCGGGGAATTAACGTTTTATGAGGCTGTTTTGGGCTTTAAGATGGTAAGTTGTATTTCTTCTAGAATGGGAATAAATTTAGGTTTCGGGAAGATTGAAAGCTTGGGAGCTAACGGGTCCATTTAGATGCCGGACGAAGTGGAGACTAATCTTATTGCAGTGTTATGACTCTGAGGAGATGGATTAATATGGCCTGCTCTGACTGGATGTTCATTGACAGACTTCTGCTCTCTCACGTCCTCTCTCCGTGTGTGTGTGTGTGTGTCTGTCTGCTGAGCTCCAGTGACTCAGCAGCAGTCAGTCAGTCCTCTCTGTGTGTGTGTGTGTGTGTGCGTCCTCTGCTCAAAGTCACGTATGGGTCCTTCAGGGTTAGATGCTCCGGCTTTGAAATTCTGTCTCATCTTTATGACATCATCTTCACAAGCCAGGAATTTCCGTCCAGGTTACTGGCAGCAGAAGTCAGAAGAGTCAGGGGTCTTTCTGAAGAGGAACCATGTCTTGATGGGAGTTACAGTAACTGCTTTACTCATTACGAACTTACTATTAACACACACAACACCCGGCAAGTTCCTCATCCATCCAGTAACTGTTCAAAGTGAGTTCTGAGATGCAATCAAAACAGGAATTTCTCACTGAAAAGTGTTAATTGCTTCCTATGAGAAAGGAAGAAACTATTTCCACTGGAAACTCACATGTTTAAGACAAACTTGTAACGCTTCCGCCTTCTGTTGTGAATGCTACGGCTGATGTTTCCCGTCAAAAAACAGTTTTTTCCCCTTCATCTAAAAATAGACCATGAGTCTGATGTACACACCAGATGTGTTTAAGTTACTGAAATATAGATAAAGAGACAGCGAGAGGACAGTTGGATTTGGTCAGATTTGCATTAACAAGGCCCGGTGAGTCGTGACACACAGCTGACAGTCTCAAAGACAGCGACCTAAAACGACAGCCAGGTGGGGAACTAACGGTAAAACTATTTGAGATGTTTTAAGATCCACTGACATTTACACTCTTTACACACACACACACACACACACACAGAGAAAAAGAGGGGACATACCCCAAAGGTTGTAAGTGAAAATGAGTGGAAATAGTCGGGTCTGAAACATCATCGACAGTAAATAAAAGTCCTGCGAGTGACGCCAGAGAATTTCCCAGTACAGAGCTGTGATCAGACGTAATCACATCAGGCCCGGGGTCTGAATGTTTGTTGACCCTGGGATGTTCCGGTGTTACGACATCCACGTAACAGAAAACATGACTTGGCAATGGGCTGACTAAAGTCAAACGCAGAGTAAAACCAAGAGGGGCTGCTAAATGAGTGTGTGTGGAAGCGGAATCGAGTCCCTCCATTGTTGTCATTTACAGTAACCCTGCTTGTGAGTAATGACATCTCAGAATTTACATATCAAATAGCCCTGACTCACAAACACGCACCTCCTCCATCACTGAAAATGAAACAAAAGCAAAACGCATCCTCCGCCCTGAGCGATGAACACTGCTACTGTTCCTGACATCAAGGAACAAAAGTTTGACATCAGCTCTGAGAAGCATTTGTGGAATTGTTTCTGTTGTTGAACTTTGTGTGAAAGGTCACCAGAGCCTCCTGCTCCAACAGCATTTATCTAAACTCCCAACTTGTGATAAATCTTCACCAAAGTGCTCCCGACTTCATGGAGCTTCAGTAAGAATATTGTAGAAACCTGATTCAGTGGAGACATCAGCAAATCTCTCTTACCATTGGTACGCAAGGGCACCATCTTCTTCACCTCCCGACACCAGTTGAGCTTCTTCTCCTGCTCCAAGGAGGCCTGCATGGCTCGGTCCAGGATGGCGGCCTGCACCACCTCCATGAAGGCCTGCGGGAAGTGGTTCATGGCGATCATCTCCAGCGTGTACCGGTGCATGCCGCGCAGGTGGTGCATCAGGCCGCTGCCGGCAGCCGGCTTCACCACGTCGTTGGGCACTCGCTGACGGATCTTCACCGCCTTCAGCAGGTTGGAGACAAACAGGAATTTGGGGAGGAAGTTCTGACCCTGCGACATGGCGGATGAGTGGCCAGGTGGATGGAAGGAGGGGAGTAAGAAGAACGAGGAGGAGGAGGAGGAGGAGGAGGAAAGGAGGAGGAGGCACCAACCACCGCTGACCCAGCAACGTGGAAACTGGATGGAGAGAAGGGAAGTGGGTTATTACGCAACACAGAAAAGAACAGACTGGTGGGACTGGGTGGAAATTTTCAGAGGAGATTCCCCTTTCCTTATTAATTATGACTTAAGGCACAACTTAATTTACTGTTTGTTCGGGGAAACCACCCAACACACAGGATCATCTCACTGTGAAAGCTGTTTGGTGCTTTTCCACTGGAGATTCTGGTGGGACAAATGGAATAAACGAACACAAAGAACCCTTTGCGTTCTCGTTTGTTCTTTTAATTTTCCTTTTCGACTTAATGGTTTTTGAGTTTCCCCCAAACAGGGGCGCCCCAGCATCCCACTGGGTTCATAGCCCCCCTGCCTGGGGGGTCACACTGTCTGCCCCAACGCCTCCAAGACTGCCCGCCTGCATTAAGTCTTAATGTTTACAACAGAGTGAGACTACGAATCAGTAGAAAATGTTTGATACCTGTGCCATAATGATGCCAGAGTTTCAGTACTGAATGTTCTCAATGCCAAAGCACCAGAAAGATAAATATTTCAGCAAAAAAAGTATGTAAAACTCTAAATACATCCCTGTTTGATGTTGTCTTAACACAAGCAGCTGTACGAGAATGTTGCCTAAAGTTAGCAAAGTTTCCCGATTCAGGTCGGTTAGAGGGATGAATAAATAAAGACTATGGCCAAACACTTGATGCTAACTTTCAGTGCTTTGATGCAATATTTTGGTTGGTACTAAACGTATTACGGTTCAACACACAACCTGACAGTAGAAGTATTGAAGAAGGTTTGAGGTTTTTAAAGGCATATTTTATGAGTATGTCAGCACATTTCTTTAGTTCACAGGAAGTAGAAAGTGATGGTCAGCAAGTGCGCCACATGACTATCTTCCCCATGTTTAAATTAACCGTTTTAGAAGAAGCCAACAGTCGGTGGATATTGTTAAAGTCAACAACCACAACACCTTCACCAACTCAAACAGCAGCAGGTGCAACAGCAGATAGGCCACGCTAAAGGGGGCTATAGTCAGTCACATGATGGGGACTAGAAGACAGGGACTAGAAGACAGACACATGGACGTCAGGGAGCGTGTTGACGCGAGTCATTAGTCGCTGTTTGGTGTGCTGGCACCGCTGGAACACACTTTTGGGGCAGATAAGACAGCGGTGAACGCTGCGGTTTAGGGTGGCATGGCTACGCTAAAAACACACAACAACAGGAGACTTTGCTGACGTTAAAGGTTTACGTAATTCCAATGACAACTACCTTTGAAACAATGTAGCCCTCGAACGCCTCGAACGCGACGGGTCTCGCTACAGTGTCGCGCCGCCGACGCTACATCTGGCCGTTCGAACGCTCCGTTTATCCGCTCGAGGGTGACGTCTTTGTAAACAATGGCTGTCAAAGCCACTGTCGTGAGCAGGCTTTCACGCTTTCCTCCATGTTCCCAGAAACACGACCATACGTTTACTCGAGGCCCAAACGTCATGTAGCCTTCCCAACCAAGTCTCAATCCCCTTTTTGGTGGGAAATGTCGTCCACATGGGGAGGCACAGGGGAGGGGAGGACGGGTGTCTTACCTGTATGTCGGGGGTAATAACAAAGCCCTCCCGGATGCTCAGGCTAGTCCTCTCTGAGCCCCTTCACTCAGCCTCACCGCTGCGGTCCTCGGCGCCATTCAACCTTCTCTTTCCTTCAGTATCAGATCTATTTTGGAGCCCTAGCAGCTCGCGAAGCCTTTCACACAGTACACAGTCCGCTAATGATAGTTGTGTTTTTTTTTTTTTAAAAGGAAAAGGCACAAGTCAAGGGGATTTCCACACGGGGACTTTCCGTCCACCCATTTTCCTCCCTCTCTCTCTCTCTCTCTCTCTCGCTCTCTCTCTCACACACACACACGACCTGGGTGTAGCTACATATTTTCGCCGCCAGGGGTCTCTATCTCTGTCTGACTCAATACTGAAAAGCATATCCCACCTACTGTGCACAAAGGAGCGTCACTGAGGGAAACAGACAGGTCGCGTCATTTTCTATTTCATGAGACAGCCTTAGAAATAGACCATAAATCTGCAACGAGACCCGCCTCTTCAAACCAGTCAGGAAAACGAAAGAAACTCTCATCACTGGACCATAAGTAGACTTCGATCAGCTGATTGAACGTATGCCTGTGTGTATTTATTTGTATATTTATGTATTGATGAGTGCACTTATTGCACCGTTTGGAAATTATGTTAAACAGAGCTCCTGGTGCTATGAAATAGTTTGATTTCTTGCTCAAGGATTCAGAGGCAGATGTCTCATCTCTCTGGATGCATAGGTGCAATGTTTAGTTAATCTGTTTCTCTTTCATTCAAAAGTTAGTTATTAAGTTAATTATCTTATTTCTTCTGTCATGCACATTTAAGTGCCCAGCCCACGTGGACTTATAAGACACCAAAAAAATACAGTTGAAACATTTGTCGGCCAAGAATATATATATGTAAAGTAAAATTTTGACAGCCATCCAACCAGGAAAATTCATCAGACGTAAATGCCATTTTAAAAAAAGAGTGTAGCTCTTAAATCATTATACAATGAGCAAGAAAACATGTTTGTATTGGTAATGCACCTGCATGAAATTGTGCAAATAAAAAATCTTGGGTTTTGGTAAATTCTGCTTCACATGTGGCTCTACAATGTTCATTTTTTTAAATAATCTATTGCACCAAACAACAACAGCTCAACTTTCCTTTCACATATTTAGCAAAAAGTTACAGCATCGATCACCCAACATGCAGCCTTTCACAGACAGACAGGCTGTCAGATCACTCTACTTGTGTCAAATCACAACTATAGCTTTGTGCACCACCGGGTTATAGTGGTGATCGAGTTGTGTTATCAGTGAGCCATCAGTGCGGGGGCCAAGTACACCAACTGCTGTTCTGTGGTCTACCAATACAGAAGCTGCAACAGAAAAGCAGTCTTATTTGACTTGCTGATGTTGCATGCGTAAGCACGAGAGGTGAGACAGAGAGGAATGATACATTTAGATGGCATGAGACGCAACAAATTAGTATTTTCAGTTCTATATATAATAATCTGTTGATCATTTTTTCAAGTAAATAGTTATTTGTTTAGCTGTACAGTTACACAAAAAGTTGTGGTCTTTTGATGGATGAATGACAAAATTGTTCGTTATCACAATTTCTGTCATGAAATTTATATAATTCTCATAGATTATTCAATTACCCATCTTGTCGTTTCAATGCTAAAAATGTTACTATCAGACAGACCGCAGTAAATTCTGTAGCATCACATTTCATATTACCATCAAAGAAGTATAATCTAGCCAGATTCTCAGTAATTCAAAGCAGATTTACCAAAAATCTGACTTCCAGATGTTTGACTCTGGAGCCTTTTGACTTTTAACTGTGCAGTAGATCAAAGGTAAATCTTTGTGTTGCATTTTCACTGTAGACAAATATCCAGATTTATTGCAAAAGAACATTTTGTCTCATCTACCTGTTGTTATTCAACTGCACTGATTCACTCCTCGCTTTCTATTTTCCTTCCTCTTCCCCTGTCTCCTTTCCTACCTGCTCGTGCAGGGATCAGAAACTCTACCAATCACCTGACGTCATGGATCCATGAGGAATGAGCCCACTAGCCAGTCAAAGTTCAAAATGGGCACACTGCTCTCGCTCCACGAGCTGACATTTAACACATCAACAGATACAATGTCGCCTTTACAGATTGCACAAATGCCCATGACTCAGTTTTTAATAGTTGGACACTGGAGAAATGATCTCACTCTGAGGCTGTTGTAAAAATAATGGGGATGATTCAGCTCTCCAAACGTTTTACAGGCTCCTGGGTCACAGGTTGGGATGGTCAATACGAGCTGGTTGTGGCAGCGATGAAATCAAAGCATATGGAAACTCCCAGAACAGGTAATTGGCGCACTTTGTTGTTCCAAATCACCAGGTGGTTCAATATGAGCAATCCTTTAAAATCTCTTACGTTACTGTACATGGGATGGTCAGATACAACACATGCTGAGAGGAAAAAAACCATTGTTTCTGAGTGTGATGGAATCTCTTAAGAACTCAGAGTTATTACAATTGAAATTATTCCTCATTAAATGCCTTAAGAACTAAAGACCATACAAGGAAGCGAGGACTAAATTTACTCAATTATTGTACTTATGTTCAAATCAAAGGTGCTTTTATTTCCCTTTCATGCCGCTTGATACTTCTACTACAAGAGAAGACAAAATGTTCTGTGCTTTCCAATACTACCCATACTACCATACTATTAAGAGAAAAATATTTAGTATGTCCCAATACTCAATAATATGCCAATAATACCAGGATGTCCTACATTTATGCAAGTCAGCATGCTTTTCTGGCTATTCTGACCCATGATTCTCTGCACAGCAAGAGGGTCATGATGAAGTATGCCCCAACTGAATGCATACTCCAAGCAACAGCACATACTTTGTAATGACAGCCACTAGAAGTAAAACGAATTGTGATTTCCACTCACACATTAACACATCAGCAATAATAATGTATTCACACAATATATTAGTATGACAGTGGCTATGTTTCTGCAGAAAGTACTTTTATTTTTCATACTTTAAATACATATTCCACATGCTTACATACTTTGTTTTTTACATTTTCCTACTAAGAGAGTATTTTTACAGTGTTATCATTACACTAAAGTACAGGATCAGAATACTTCCTCCACCACTTACATTTTGAAAGCACAGTGCGACTAACATGTACCACACATTTCATAATTTTAACAGCACAACAACACCTTCTTAAAGGTTGAACATGTGATTGTAGAAGAAGGCTGTCATGACTTGTCTGCTTCTGCTTTTATCGATATGGTCCTGTCTTCAAATAAAAACATAAAAAAGTATAAATCCAATCTTCTCATTATGCTTTGCTGGCCTTGTCTGGCTGATGCAACATCTCATGTTTAGAGAGCACAGAAAGAGGCCCTTCGTCAGTTACGTTAATGCCATTTGAGGAAGAAGCAGGTTACAAGCAAGCTGTTCAGAAACACGTTAAAAGAGGAGTGTGAATCACTGAGACTTTGACTGATCATATTACTTTTATTTCTGCGTCAGGTTACTGCACTTCTTTGTGCAGCACAAGTGCAGTATTAAAATACGTACTGTATGTACCTGTGCTTGAATCCAGTATGGGACCTTTGTCTTCATGCTTCCCAGTCTTTCCTATGTCTCTCTCCGCTGTGTATTGAATTCAAGACAAAGTAACCATACATATGTCCAAGCTTTTGATATTCTACCTCATATATTTGATTTATTAAACAGTATCTTATGTCACCAGCACAGCACAAACCCCCTCGTTTTTTTGTTTTTTTTAAAGGCACCGTACCCAACTGGAATGGGTACAGTGCAGTGATAGTCACAAACACGTTCGCCATCTACATGGTGGTCTACTAGTAATCAAGGTACTTTACATTAATCTATAGGCTTTATAATACGCACCTATATTCGTCCTCCAGAGTCAAAAGTCTCTTGTGTTCTGACAGTGTGGCCAGTCCCTAAGAGTGACTTCTGAACCCAGATGGATCCCTCAGAGCCCCAAAAGCCTCGAGGCCCCGTTCTGGTATGAGGTGGCAGAACAGCGGGGACAACCCTGAGGAGAACATCTCAATGTTCTTCTGGCTCTTCTTCTCAGTGGAAAGCACCTCGGAGGCGGATCGAAACCAACCCCCAGTTAAAATCATTTTGTGTCGGGGTAAACTCCACAGACACCTCTAAAAGCTCAAGCAAACCCGGAGAGGGAAAAGCATGTGGGTTGGACAGGTGGAAGATGCAACAGAAGCTGATTTACTGATCGAGCCTGACCTCTACTGGCCGTTGTACAGCAACACAGATGAATGGAAGGTAAACAAACACAAGACCGGGATGTCTTTCTCTCTTCACAACAAGAGGGCATGGAAGTATTGACATGCTCTGCTCGTTGACAGCTTGTATTTTGAAAAGCTCTACCTCTCTGAGACACAGTACCACGATATGTTTTCAAAAATGCATTTGGCCAGGTGGCCAACACATTGTGAATTAGACGTATTATTTTGAGCCACTCTGTGATTCATTTTGGTGGCAAACTGTCAATAGGCGAGTCAATACTGACCCTAATGACTGAAAGCAGCGGTGGAAGGTGACTAAGTACATTTGCTTGCGTACTGAACTGAAGTACAGTTTTGATGTACTTGTACTATGGTGCCACTTTTACTTCTACTCAACTACATTTATCATTAAAGATTCAACTAGTTGTTCCCAATATATTTGGTTTGTGACCCTCAAAACTTCTTAAATGGATTTATTTTCTTCTAATTATGTATCAGAATACTTTATTGATCCCCAGGGGAGGGGGTTTGAAAATCAGGACTTTTACTTGTAATGGAATCTTTTTGGATTGGTGTATTGGTACTTTTACTTCTTCCACCACTGCTGTTGAGTGACTATTAATGTAATACCAAGTTCAATCTTTGTAGTCCTGTAGGTTACGTGGTGAAATATAATGTAAATTCTCATGTTTGAGAAGGTTTTGTGAAATATTTCCAGAAAGGCTGATGGTGTTTTTAGTGTTTGTGGAGAGTCTGTAGTAGAGGCATATGTATTATATTATACACCTGTAGTTAATACATTCTTGAACATGTCAGTCATTAAAGAGAACAATACAGCATCAATTTTCTGACTTAAAGTAAAATGAGACACACAAGAACATGTAATGGGGTGAAAAGAACATTACCCAAATTAAGTGTCTATCTTGTTATTGCTGTTTTTCCCCCTCCTTTGAATTTATACTTGTTACTCTCCCTCCCTCCCAGTCCTTCATTTACTCTCTTACTGTCTGTCCTCCACTCCCTCACACTACATTTCTCCCCCCCATGCCCCCCCCCCCCCCCCAACCTCTTGAGCATGTTTTCTCTCTCCACACTCGTTCACAGAGAAACCAGAGCTGTCAAGACATGCTGAGCGACATCTAATTCCCACACAGGGTGTGGCTCTCTGGGTGTGTGTGCATGTCGTAATTCATGACTCACATCGGTGTGTCTGTGTGTTTATCAACTTCTCCACCATCCTGCGCGTGTGTGTGTGTGTTGACAACCCGATAAGAGTCTGAGTACAAACACTGACAGAGGAACATCATTTGCACATATAGGTTGCAACTGGATTTTCTGGACATTTCTGGTGTTTATACAATATATATTTACATTGGTCCTTGAGAAATCAGATCTTTATTGCCTACTAAAGTGAAGATAAAGATCGTACAATATATGCACTTTCTCTTTTTCCTTTCTCTTCCTCCCTCCAAACATAAACATGGCCACTGCGATGTAAAATAAGTTTTTTTTATTGCATAAAAACACACAGACTACCAAAAAGAATCAATTCATACTACAGCAGAACAGCTGGGTGATTTCCAGAAGTGGGTGAATGTTAATAACACATTCTCTATAGTACATTATATACCCATACAATAATGTCTGAAAAAGCTGGCATTAAGAGAGATTCATGCCTGTAAGTATAAAAGCGTGTTTGTTTTTCTTATTTGACCTCACCTTCACCGATTCTCAGTTAAAACTAGTTGATTCAAATGGGTTAGTTATTTATGCAGCAATTTGCTGACCTAGGGTCAATCATCACGTCTCTTTTTACACTCAACAGTCAAAGGATCTTTCATGTAATAGAAACAATACAGTTTGGTCTGGGCACTAATTTGGTCTTGGCATGGAGAGAAATGTAACCGTTGACAATGATTAAACGCGAGTCAGTAAAACCAGACTGATCAGTTTGATATGACATTCAAAAACACACCAGCGAAGAAGCTAAGGCACCGGCTTCATGCACATCATGTCAGCAGATTGTACACCTTGGTCTCAGGGCCTCATCAAACCAGAAGTAAGCCAAAAGAACATTATCAAATCTTATGAGGGCTTTAATAAAATACATGATTGGTCATCCGTCTGTGACTGAAAAACTATTTTAATCTCTAAAGGAAAGTCTTCTCTCTGAATGGACTCTCTACTTTGAGGCAACAAGACATGAAAACGGAGATTCAGAGTTTATATTGGTCCCTTTAAGACAACATTTTGACACGTTTTCTAAATTTCCACGAGAGATAAATGATCAAGCTTAATGGAAATTCATTTGAATTTGCTTCCAGTTTAGAGTGACAGAGATGGAAAAGCTGCAGCCAGGTCAATGAACTGCCACACGCTGCGTCTACTCATCAAGTGTATTAGTAGTAGTGCTCAGAACAGACACAAAGACGGCACAACAAACTCCCACAGTTAAACCCCTTTGATAATAAGTAAGAATATAAAACTCTGGAGACAGCAGAAAAGCGTGCAAACACGACTGTTAAAACTACATTTCTATATGTGTAGATTACATTCAGCTTCTGACTCTAAGCCTTTGCTTCCTTCTTACCTCAAGCACAAACAGAAAAAAATACACATTGAAGAACTGAGAGAAACTAATTATAACACATGGGACAAAACCAAATTATGATTAATATTCCTTTTCCATCCTGTGCAAGCTTTAGTGTTAACTTCTCTTCTACCAAGGTTGTTCTAAAAATAAATCAGGCTAAAGTTATGCTTTACACGTCATTAATTCCCTTAGGTTAAGTGCACTTGGGTGATCTTGCATTGAGAATTACTGGTAAAAAGTACAGATACAATGAGGAAGATGTCTCAATCAAATGCAGAATGGTAAAAAAAAAAAAACTACGATGAAGACTTCATCTAAAATGTACACTAAAGCAGATGCGACATCCAATTACAGTCCACTTCCAGTAAGAATCACCCCAGGCTTTTGACCTCGAGGGGTTTTCCACTGCCGAACCAAATCTAACTGAACTGAACTGAGCCAACGTGGATCTCTGGTGAAATGGTACAGTGTAAAAACGTTCATTGTCCGGTGCAGATCCAGCTCAGAGTGGAAAGTGGAAATGTGTGCAGGTTTAGTCTTTAAGCAGAGGAATAGAGGTATTTGGTCTTGGCCAGGCCGGTCAGCTCATCCTCGTAGCGTGGCAGGCAGCAGAAGAGGATGGCGCAGCCGATGCAGAGGATGGTGGCTCCCCAGCCGAAGCCGTAGGCCCAGGTGTAGTAATAGTGGCCCTCGAAGAGCTGCTCGTTGAATTTGACGGGGTAGATGATGAGAGCGATGATCTGGAGAACCACTGCAGAGTGACAAGAGAGAGAGAGAGGTGACCTTTTATAAATCAGCCATGCAGCCGTTTGGACGAATATACACCGACACTAACAGCAGGGTGTGGAAAATACCTTCACATGAGAGTGTCAAAGTTACATCCACATAATGATATCTGTGACAACGAGGTGAGTCAGTAACAGCAGGCTAGGCCCTGATAGTCGCCTCGAACAATTTCCAAGCAGTTAATCTTGAGAAAGGGTGTAAAGTATCAGGTGTGATACTTTATCCCAACACAAACTGTTTTATTCATCAGATTTCTTTTTTTTAAATTTTTGTTAAATCTGAAACATCCTGACAATTTCTGAAGAGCTTCATGTACTCTTTTGCCTCTGCGAGGTCAGGAGTATGATACTAGAGACCTGACAGAGGAGTTAAAGGAGCCTAGTGAATTTTGAAATATTCTGTAGCATTCATGGGTTTTGACACTTTCAATTTGAGGGATTGGAGCCAAACAGAAGTGAAGTACTGAGTAAAAATCATATTTTACTATTAAAATCACCCTTTTACCTCCTAGAACACTTTTTTTGTGTATAACAATGCAACTCACCAACTTTTCTAACCATCACTTCATAAATATAATACTACATTTTATCTATTTAGATTTCTTTTCCAGAACAATTTCACAAAGTGATTTTCAATCAAAACACAAAACATTTAAAACACAGAGAATGAAATGTACAGAGGGAAAAAAATGAACTCATAAAAACATGGAGGAAAATAAACTAAAATGTTATAAAACGCAAATAAAATCATAAAGATGCGATTAAAAAAAAAAAGTGGGTTTTTAAAAAGTGATTTAAACGGTCTCCAGGTGACTTTAAACCCTACAGAGGGATACTGTATTTATAATCCAATTATTCTTTATCTTTCTTTTTCTTCTCAGACTAACTTGAAGAGTCATTTTGTGCGACCTGTTGGGGCCAAGTGCCAAACTACGTTCAACTCCCTTCGACACATTTAAAAACAAACGTCACAGTTCCTGTGAATTATGACTGGCTGTTTCACCCGTCAGTGAAAGCTGTATGCATCATTGTGTGTGTGTGTGTGTCTATGTGTCGCTCTGTCACATTCTCCTCCTCAGACTCTCTGTGGGGTGAGTCAGTCACATCAACAGCTAAACCAGCTGTTCCCCTGGTCACACCAAAACTTTGCCCTTCCCTCTTTCTGCAGCAAAACGTCGAACTCACTTTCTGTTTCCTCGACACCTTTTGTTGCTACGTCAAACCTTCACACATCACCGTGTTCACCCCTTCTCTTTGGGATTGAGGTCTGGTTTTCCTCCCTTAATCACTTCCACTTAAAATATCCTTCCTAAAGCTTGAATTTTACTTTTTCCGGCTTCCTCTTTCACTCCTTTGTTCTTACACATTCTCTTAGCCTTTGTCTCTCTGCCTCGCCTTGAAGTCTCATACTCCCTCTCAGTCTGTCCCTGATTTCTTAACAACCTTTCAATGACTTTTAGTGTTCATTTGTCAAATTTAATGGAATTTTGTCAGCATTAAACATGACATAAAACGACCTACCTCATGGTCTTGTTAAATACATTTTAATTTCAAAAATCCTAAAATTCTCAATTTACTGATTCTTTAAAACATATTTACTGATTCAAATCTTAATTATGTCGATTTTAGACCATTTTATTTAGGCAAACTTCTTGTATGGCTGCTTGTTTTTAAACAACATTTGACATTTGAGAACTTTGGCTTCTTCTCTTCAATGTAAAAAGGCGTCTTTAGACAAAAACATGTTCTATATATTCTTCAAAGTAAGGTGGTGTTTTGGCATATCAGTAAAGAATTAAGTGGCATATCAAGCTACAGCAGAACTTTATAAAGGCATTCGTGCACGTATAGGCTTTGAGACAACTGAAACACGGTGATTGTAGTTATTCGTTGTTACCGCCAACTCCTTCGGAATCTACTTCAAACATCTCAAACTAATTTCCAAATGTCTAAGTAGTAATAGTTGCTGAAATGTATAACGTTTGCATGCGTGAGTATCTTACCAACAATGATCAACAAGACTCCAACGAGAGGCAGAAGGGTGACGTTGAGCGAGCCGCACAGAGCCACACAGGAGACGATGAAGGCGAGGATGAGGATGAGGAGGCCAATGATCATCAGAGCAGCCACTGCCTGGGCCCAAGCTGAGGCAACAACACAAACAAGCACACTGGTTAGTTACATGTTAGCAAACGGAAATACTGGTAAAAAAACGTTAAAAGTCGGGACATTATTTGTATTATTATATTTTACAGAATTTTAGGAATCTTCATCTCTCTTGCCCCCCCCCCACAGCATGAACTCATGATGGCACGTCACACAAGGTTAGGGAGGTTCAGGCTGATATGGAGAGCAAAGGAGGCAACCTGTCTACTTGCTACACACACCACCGCCGCCACACCCTGAACAACACTTTCCCTAGCTTTGTCACTCCACGACGTTCTGCTGAAATCTTTAATTACAAGGAACTTGTCGTTCCGGTACAGTCACAGACAACTCCCATCAAGCGTGGGCGCAGATCTTTGGGCCGAAAAGCGCATGAAGCGCTTATAACAGTTTAAATTATACCGCACACTTTGTACTAACCCTATGAGGCGAGATAAAACCTGTTTCAGTGGAAGTCGAATGCTGAATAAAAAGAAGCTTTTACTGTGTAAAATATAATCTGTGTTCGGAAACCTCTCATTCTTCTTTCACAAGTCTTCTGAACAGGTTTGAAATATAAACCTGTCTATGCATTAAGATTTACACATGCAGATCAAATATCATCATACAAACAGTCTATTATTCAAATAAACTAACACTAATGCAGATAATCCTGACATTTTTTAATTTAGTAAGACTGCAGCCAAGCCCACTTTGTGCATTTTTAACATGCAGTGACACCCAATACGCTGTTACTGGATCGGCCAACACCCTGAATTATTCACACCTGCGTGTGTTTAGGCCAGTCCCTACCTGCCTCAGCCTGATGTACTCTCATCCTGCACAAACCGACACACACCAGACTAGTTCGACCGGTTTCATTTCTCGCAGATGAAGCGGCAGGAAGTAAAAGCTACTGACAGCTGTCATATCACACAGTTACTTTATGAATCTGTGTGTTAGAAACCAACAAAACACTAAAAAGAAAATAACTGGCAGATCAATTGGCAAAGAAAATAATAGTTAGTTGCACCCTTGTAATTTTATATTGAATCATCAATTGCGGGATATGGTACATTTTCAGGAAATCCAATTGAAAAGCTGTAAATGGATAAAATACACAGACTGGAATGTCTGTTTTCAGCTAATCCATAATTCAAATCAATGTGTTTCATTGCATTTATGCAAAAATCATATGCAAATCAAATGTTGCTATAAAGCTGTCAAACTGGCATTTCTTTGGAATATTGGTTGATGGGTATATACTACGTATATCGCCCTTCCCTTCAGAAATGACTACTTTTAACAAGTAATTATCTACGTCTCATGTTTTTTGCCAATGACGCGCTCGTGCCAAAACATGTTTACTCCTGTAGTTCACAGGAAAAGCTGCAGCTTCCACATAACATACGCGTGCTTGGGCCGATGCCAATATTCACTCCATCGACTGCACGGTCATGTTTTGATTCCTCAGTTTTCAGTTCCCCAACATATCCCCACAAGTATTTAGACCAGAACTGTAACTCAAGAATGCTCAGAGGAACCTCGCAGCAAAAATGTATCTGAGATCCAGCCAGAGCTTCTCTGGCAGCTGTTTTAACCCCTTCAGTCCTGCTGAGAGCAGCAGCAGCAGACAGTTCAGTTCAAACTACTCGATCTGAAACTTCAAATGAGACCAGAAAATAAATGAAAAAAATACTTCTTACATTACGGGAATTAATTAAAAACATTTGTGTTTTAACATCTCTAGTTCCCACTCATAACTGCCAAGATGGCGTGAAGAAAGTGAAGGTCTGGACTTGACCCCCCCCCCCCTCCATACCCACAAGTTCTCGTCAAACCATTGTGTAAATATTAACAAACACACAGGAACACATGCACACTATAAGACAAAAACAGGAAAAGTTGTGGGGTTTGGAATTTACATCTAGATAAGTCAAGTCACTTCACAGGAACGAGGATTTTAACCAACAATTACTGCTGTAATGTTGCTTTGTAAACATATAGAGGACATTAATGACCACTTTCTCTATTCATCTTAAATCAGTTAAGAAACAGCTATAAACTCAAAGAGTCAAAAGAGCTGTCCGACCAACAGTCCAAAAACACAGAAAATTCATTTTAAAAAGCAGAAATTTCTCACATTTCAGAACCATCGAATCTTTGCCGTTTTTGTCTCAAAACAAATCCATAGATTATCAAAATGTTCTTTTGGTTATCAATTAATGAACTAATCATTGCAGCCCCACATTGCACCATGTCGGATAATTTATTTAATAATTGATGGGCTTGAGGTCGACAGGTTAGCACTCGGGTTACAGTAATGACTTTAAACAATGTTTATAGCAGCCATCAAAAGAAACCACTAACATGTTGATGAATGCAGCTCATGAGAGCTCTGATGGAAGCATTCGTACCGTCGGCCATGTCTCCATATGGAGCTACGTGCCGTTTAGCTTCTCTAGCCGACTTCCACAGAGTCTGATAAAAGCAACAGTGCAGTCTTTGTTGTTCAGCGTGGGATTGTGGAATAACACAAATACAACCTGAGGAGAGCGAGTGAGAGGACACAAGTCTGCTTTGTTCACAGTTATTGTTCAACACACTTTCAGAGTGTGTGTGTGTGTGTGTCAGTGACTTCATGCGTCTTTGGTTGGACGTCTGCACTGGAGGAAAATCTCATTAACACTTTGTCTATAAATATCCATATTTGTGAGAACACGTCTGACAGACACACATCCTTAAAGCTCCTTCTTACCCGCTTTTATCAGGAGAGTAGGTCACAAACTATTTCAAATAATCCAACTCAGCCAGAGGCGTTGTGAGGTTGTGGTTCAAAAACTTGCTGAACCAGCAAACCGATACCGAACACTCTGCGTTTGTTTTTTAGAATGAAATTATTTTAGAACTCAACTCTGTTTTCGTAAGGGATTCTTGAGAAGAGCAGACATCTGGGATGTTTTATTGTTAGTGGTATTATTAGAAGTAGTTGTTCTAGTAAAAATAGAGCTGTGATGGTATACTATTGGTGTCAGCCAGGTGTAGCACAAGCAGCTGTCGTAGCAAACATGTTCCGCTTTCTTGCCTTTAGAAACAATAGTTGTATAAAGTAAAGCATGAACACAGCGACGGGAAGACTTCCTGAATTCTGGTCTGTGTTATCAATATCAATCTGAAATGACATTGGTCTGCAGCTCACATTGCTTCACTGTGTATATTAAAATCAGATTAAAGAAGAAAACGTGCCGTATTTCCTGGCAGTGGTTTGTTTTTAGGGGAAGCAACCGGTTTCAGAGCCGCCATAGGATCTGTTCCATTGGAGGACTTTTAGACTTCATTATTGAAAGTATTTTGACAGGTACAGACAGGTGTGTAATTAAATCATTTTCTATAGCTGTATTTTCCCACCCCACAATAGGAGGAGGGGCCTCTCTTTGATTCTTTAAAAGTTTTCTTTTAGTTTTCTATCTTGGAACCATTGATGTTGAGGGCCTTAGACACTTTATGTGATACCGGGGCTACACAAATAAACTTTATGAAGCGGCATGTGAAATTCTAAGTGAACTTGAACAAAAAAGCTGCTGGGCATAATTTACAGCACCTCCATGAAACCTCCATCATGCCGCCTGTATTTGCTCAAGCTGGGAATGATTAAAAAAAAAAAAAAAGCGAGTGAATCATAGTGAAGACCAAAGTTCAGTCCGCCTGACTGACTGAAAGTGTTGTAGGCCTCAGTCCTCCTCCGCCGGGAGTTTTGGATTGTATTCAGAGGTCGAGTCCTTCAAGTTACAAGAAGTGAATGTTGAATTTTACACCCCTGCGAACCATACACATCACCAGATCATTCCACCGGCTGTGCTAACGCTCATAGTCTTACTGTTTAGGAGGACCTGGATAGGGTGTAATGGAGTGTAAACAGACACTTACGATGCTCCATGAGCGACTTGCAGTCCCAAATGCCATTCCTGCCTCGGCACTCCTCCCACATACTGGTGTAGTGGGAATTGCCTTCCTCATCCTCGACCCATCCCGATGTAGCCGCGATGGCGATAATGTCAAAAATAATGGCGAAGAGCAGCAGCAAGGGCACGATCCACTTGCACCGGGGGTAGGCGATCCCGCAGCGAAACATGACCGACGATCGTAGTGTGTGGAGCGGGGTTGAAAGAAAGAGGAGGACGAGCTGTGTGGAGCGAGCGCGGTGTGGTCCGTCGGATTATATAGTGTCCCGTGCGTCTTTGCGCAAAGAGAATGTCTTGTCAATAGGTGTGGTGTGGACAGCATACGAGATTAAAAAAGCCCCACCCGAGTGTGTCATGTAGTTTCGGGACCTGAAGGGCTGGGCTTGTCTGGATGTAGGAGCTGAATCAGGCCCAGCCCCATTCACTGTGTCATTTTACACCCTCCACAAAAGATAACTGTTGAGGCGCCTGATTAACCTGATTCCGGACTCCAAGCAACGATTTGTAATGTTTTTAAACTTGGTGATTTTCGTAGGTTGGGGATTTGAACAGGTAGCTATGGACTGGGCAGTGAGTGGGCGGGGTGTGAGAGGAAAGGTAGAGAAGAAGAGAAGTGAGAAAGTAGGTGAGTAAATGCAGTAAATAAAGTGACCACAAGATGACAGCCCAGCGCACTCTAACAAGGAAACCTGTAGTTATAAGTTACAGAGAAAGAAAGATACAGAATTATTGTATTTCTCCAGTTCTCCAAGACTTAAATATATTTGTCACCACATGAATCTGAGATATTGACTTTTTCTTGTCGAGGTTTAATACCAACAGGGCTATTTGTTCCTTCTGTGGCTTAACAAATTGGAATACATTAACACTGATGAGAAACTATTTTAAAAAGTTTTAGAAAGTAAGTTAGCTTGTGGCTTAGTGTAAGCTCCGAATTTTAGTTAATTTGTATTTTATTTGTTTATATATTAGTTTTATTTGTTTCTTGCAGATTTTAAAGCTCTTTCAAATAAAATGGCGAATTCATATTTAAGTACTTGTCACTGGGCGTTACTATTTTGACACTTTAATGCATTTCTATGCATTAATTATATGATTATTAATTATATGATTATGATTTATGATTTATGATTGATTCTATGATTTATTGTGGTAATTGTTGTTGACGAACTTTTTACGCAGCTGTCTTGACCATGTCCCCTTTTTAAATACGGGTTAAATAAAATAAAAAAATAAGAAATGTGTATGACCTCCCTTTCATTATGACAAATAAAGTAAACAAGAAAGAAAGTAACGCAAACGTTAACCACTTTGGTTTTGCTTTTATGAAGTGTATTGTGACTGCCTCATTTAAGCTGCTAAAATAAGGCAGTCAAAATATACTTTATAGTTTATATTTATGTTAGTGGTTAGTGGCTTTTATTTTGTTCATGCTTCATTTGTACTGCTTGCACAGGATCAATAAAGTTAATCTTATCTTATGATAAAAGAGTGGAGAAACTTAACACATGCAGATGTTTCCAAACAGGACAAAACCACTCAGCGTTAAAATGATGTGAATAAAGTGCTGTGGCCTTCAGTCACCATACCTTGACCCACTTGAACACCTGAGGGAGATTTTGATGTTTTCACACTCTGCCACCATCAAAACACCAAATGAGGGAAAATCTTTTGGCAGACTGGTAAACATCTGGAGTCAACCTATCGCGCTTCATAACGGTGAATAACAGAACAACTCTCATGACACT